GCTGATCCCTGGGGAGCACCACTGGTGACCAGCTCCCAGCTGGATTTCACTCCCTTCACTGCCACCCTCTGGGCCTGGCCATCCAGCCTGTTTTTCACCCAGTGAGCAGCACATCTGTCCAGCCAGTTTCTCCAGGAGAATGCTGTGGGAAACAGTGTCAAAAGGTTTTACTGAAGTCCAGGTCAACTTTGGTAATTCCACAGTTAATTCTGACACTTTGAAAAGTGAGAGGACTGCATGTCTTACCTTAATAATAGTTCTGCATGCTGAAGGTTTAGATAAGTATTTTTAGATGGATGCTATCAAGAAAGAAGTCTCTTTACATATCTAGTAGAGTATGAAGATTCATAAAATCACTTAGATTTTATATCTCATTTATACAACTGTGCTTCTTACCAGTACTCTTCCTCATTTTAGTACATCTTTGAACAAGTTTCTTTATAGGTTTCTGATTTTGAGCCTCTTCACTGTCAGATTCACATTTTTAGCAGAAGGCCATGGTGGCTGCTCAGTATTCAAATACTGAAAATTTGAAATCAATTTTCACAAATGTCATTTAAAGAAATATATACATCCATTGGAACTAAATTTTATTGATAATTTTGTTATGAAATGACTTGAAAATATTTCTTTACAAAGCATCTTTATAATGCTTTCCATCAAAACGGGACTTCAATACACCTTTCAGGGTTTTGAGAGATGCAGTTGGACTATTTCATCTCCATGCAAGAAAAACTTCAGTGTGGAGGGTTCGTTACTGCACTCGAGGAAGTGAAGTTACAGGGAGACAGTGACAGGTTTTCATCCATTGCTTTCATCGTGTGGCTTGTGGAAAGGTCAATACAGAAATACATCTAAAAGAGAAAACTTTAAATCTTTTGGGGTTTAGATTGTGACACTGGAAAGAGAAGGATCTGTGCCATCAGAAACACTCCCTGCTCTTACAGTAAGGTTTGGAATGGGAGCCAAGCACCTACCAGATGGTGCTGGTGCCTGTTCTCTCACCTGCCAGATGTGTGTGCTGCCCCCTGAGTGACTGTTGCATTTACCCAACTGTTTCACAGTGTGTGATGTAGTACAGCTGTAGCTGAGTGCTCCTGTTGCCTTCCTTAGAGGAATTATTGGCTTTCTGAGAACGTTCCTGCCTTACCTCTGTATGTAATGGTTCCGCTCTATTTGTTCCGTGTGTTTTGTGTACACACCAGGCTCTTTTCTGCCTCTCTGGGGGTTTTGTACACTTGGTTAACTTTGAGTGAGGGTTGGAGCTTTTGGGGTTTTTTTGCAATAAGTCATAACTTTCCAGTCAGAGCTTTTTTTTTTTTTTTTTTTTTCAGAATGGTCATGCAGGTAACATAATGGAAGCGTTTGTTCAGATTTGGTGTCTAAAGTGAGCTTGTGTTGATAATTTCAACCAACTTGGCTGTCAATAAAGAATGAGTTGAAAAATCACTGTTTGCTATTCTAGATAAGCTTGTTTTCATCTCATATGTGTAAGGTGAAAGGACTGTGAAATGAAATGGTCTTCTGTTTGGAAGTTACAGTTGTGCAGGGCAAGGCCTTCATCCTAAAGCTACTGCCCTCACACCAGCTTCTGTCAGCCAGCTGACCTCACACCCCTGATGGCTCAAGCCAGCTGTGCTGAAGCAAATGAGCTGCAGCTCATCTTTGGTTTTGGTAGGTGGCTGTTGCAGGAGGGGACCTGTGAAACACAAGAAATGAATAAAGGGGGCTCTACCCACAGCAGCTTTAAATAGAAACTGTGCTCGTCTTTTGTTTTCTCTTAAAAAAACAAAGCCTCATACGCCTCAAATAATATTTCACTGTTAGAATCGTCATCAAAACCTATGGGAAAATCAGTTTTATGTCAGGTAAATATCTGCAGTTTCAATCTGTTTCTTGCAAGGGGCCAAGTTTGCAGTTGTTCTGCACCTCTATAAGGCCAAGGTCAGTCACAGAATCACAGAATTTTAGGGGTTAGGATGTACCTTAGAGATCATCTGGTCCCAACTCCCTGCCCTGGGCAGGGACACCTCCCACCAGACCAGGTTGCTCAAGGCTTCATCCAACCTGGCTTTGAACACTGGCAGGGTTGGGGCATTTACTACCTCCCTGGGCAACCTGTGCCTGTGTCTCACCACCTTCACACTAAAAAACTTTTTCCTAATATCTAGCCTAAATTTTCCCTCTTTCAATTTGTACCTGTTGCCCCTTGTCCTATCACTGCAGCTCCTAACGAAGAGTCCCTCTTTGGCTTCCCTCTTGGCTCCTTCAGATACTGGAAGGCTGCTGTGAGGTCTCCATGCAACCTTATCTTCTCCAGTGTTAGTAAATATTCCATACAGCAGCATGGCAAAGCTCCTGCAGTGAATAATTGCATGTGTAAGCTTAAATAATGTACTGTTCTTTCCCAGAATAAGGAGTAACTGCATTTGTTATTGTACCTGAGCTGGGAATTCCCCTCATCCCTGTCCTCAGTTTGGCTTTCTTAGATTGCAAAATTGCAGAATGTTTGTGGAATGTAAATACTTAGAATTAAGGGACAATCACTATGGGGTTGCTTTTTAACAACAGCAGAATGTCCAAACTCAGGAAACTCCCTTGTGTCTCCCCAGTGTGCACACACAGCTCATGTTTCAGTGCCAGAAGTACTCTGTTCAAACACTTCTCCACGCTCAGAGGCAGCTTTGCCTGTTTTACTCATGAAATCAGCAGTTTTGGCTGCAGCAGCTTTTTGTGACTCAGGGGTTGCGACCTGGAGTGCAGGCCCAGAGGATACGGGAAAGCAGGGCTCGGGCTGTTCCCTGCTGGAAGGCAAAGGTGGTGCTTTATCTTAGTCCCTACAGGGAGCTCCAGCATTTTTGTCACTGCTGCTGTCCACGCTGGAGATGAGTCAAGGGGGTGCACTCCCAAGATCTTCTAAAGATGTGCTCCAGCACCTGCCTTCTTGCAGTTGTACTCATGTCTTGCTCTTTGCAGAAAATGTTGGTTTGGAGAGAACATGAAACACATCATAAGACTCAAAACTATCCTCTATGGTCTTCTCTCTTGCAGGGAAAAGTTCCTCAAGTTGGTTCTAGGTCCCTGGGCAAAATGGCACGTGTTAGTGAGCCTGTTCCCCAACTTACAGGCATAATTATCCAGGGCTTTTTTGTTGTTTTTTTTTTTTTTTATTTTAGGCCAAAGAGGTCACAGACAGAGGTACTTGTGGCGAGCAGAGAAGGCTCTTGAGCTGACGTGTACTGTAAGGACACAGGTTATCAGTAGGATGTGAACGGAGCTGCAGCAACAGTCAGCACTGCAGTCCCTGCAGTAACTGAGCTGTTACACTGTCACATACCAGACAGGTGGTAGGGGACAAAAGGCTTCCTTGTCCATAGTGTTAGGGTTTAGATTCTTGCTGCATCCATCTGGAGATAGAGTACTCTAGAGGATCTATTTTGCTGCTCCAGGCCTGTCTGTGGAAAATATCTTCTCCTTCCTTAAGTCGAATTTCTGACTGAAGTCCAGCAATGCACAAGGAAGTTAGCTGCTGTCTAACTTTATTAGTTAGCCTTACTGCATCTCCTTCATCCTATGCCTCTGCCCTGCAGCTCCAGCAGTGAATTGGTTAAGGTGACAGAGTTGTGAACACCCCTAACTCTTCCGAGGAGAATGTAAAGCGCTCTCTTAGACCTGCTAAATCATGTATGGAACTGCACAATGGGGAGACTTTCTGCACTCACTCTGCAGTGCAACTGCACTCAAACCTGGAGCCTTCTTCAGGGGTAACAGCTGTATGGATTGTTAACCAAGGGAAGTTCCTATGCAGGGATAGCACAGTGGGTGCTCAAACTGTAAACCATGCCAGTAGGACCTGACAATTGAAAACTAGAAGAGTTGTGGATGTATGGATCTGAACTTCTCCTTAGGCAAAATGCTTACTGCTGCATCTCCTTAGTTTAGCCCACTTGAGCCCCACTGAGCCACTGTTGCAGCAGAATGGCTGGAAGTGCCTCAAGAAGGGTCTATGAGAGCAAGGCAAGGCAGGAAGAGCCAGTCAGACCCTCCTTTTGGTGCTGTGTGTCTGCTCTATCTGAAAGCATTATCAGCACGGATGTAGGTGTATGTGGTTTGCTTTGCAATGGAGTTAAGAGCAATACTTCCCATTCTCCTTTCCATCACTCATCCGGTCATCCCAGGATGCAGTGGGAATTTCACAGTACAGATACTGACCTGACCTTGGGCTTCAATGTGCAGACAATGAGGCACCTTCCCCTCCAAGCTATCTTGCACATGAGACAAACAAAAGTGTCACCCTTAAGCCAACTGTAACACTTCAAGCACACAGAACTCAAGGCAGTTTCTCAGCCTGCTTGTTATGAGGAGCAAATAGTCCCAGGACAGATGAAGAAGCACGACATGCTTTCCCAAAAATTGTGTAACAGGAGCTATGAACTTTCAGTAAGGACAAGGAGGAGCTGACTGCAACAATTTCTGTTTTGGAAGTGGAGGGTAGTGTGGGGAATTCCCAGCCATGGGTATCCTTTCCAGTTTCCTCTTTTGAGGGGTTTGAATTGCTTATAAATACCCTCTCAGAGTCTGAAAGCACACGAGACCATCTCCATCTCCTTTGGCTTTGCCTTTCTACAGTGGTGAGTGACATTCTGAATTTGTGAGCTCTATGCAGTGTGTTGAGCTGGTGTTGGGGAACAGGGCTAATGCTTTAGCTTGTGGGGCTTCCCTGTGGTCATGACAGGAGCAGCAGGGAATGCTAAAATGCAAGTTTCTTGTGTCCATCTGCCTCTGTTGCTGAGTCCTTAGCTAAGCTTGTGGCCGCCCAGAGGGCACCACTCTTTGCAGGGGCAGAAGGTGGTCCTGGACTAGCCCTCAGCGCTGGGGCAGCTGCCTGGACACAGCTGTGGGTGTGATGGATGCTATGCCAGCAGCCTCTCAAAGCTGCTCAGGAGCTGCTCATCTCTCTGATTACCTCGCAGCTCTGTGTCAGGCTTGCCCTGGGAACCATGAGGCTCTGGCTCTTCCTTGTGCTGCTCGCCGGCATTCTATGTGCAAATGCTGACGGACAAATAATACGCAGAACTGGACAAGCGATAAGCAGGGCAGGACACTTCGTCCGGGACGCAGCGGGAGGTGAGTGTCAGTTACCACGGGCTGTTCTCTTGGGAACCCCCTCCTGGAGCACAGGTTATCAGCAGTCAGTGGATGCAGCCCTCAGAGCTGAGAGATCCACAGCTGCATCTTAAGAGACCCCACTGGTTTCTCCTGCTGGAAGAGGGCCTCGATCAGCCCCCGCAGGCCCTTTCTTTGGGTAGAGCCCTCTGCAAAGGCTGATGTGGAGAAATGATTCTCCACGTTACTTCTCCCGACTGAAATGGTACTGAACCACTCCTGGTGCACCTTGAAAGTCAACATCATCTCTGTTTCTCTGCTAATTCTTCAGGAGCACGGGATATGTACAGAGCGTACCGGGACATGCGTGAGGCTAATTACAAAGGCGCCGACAAATACTTCCATGCCCGTGGGAATTATGATGCTGCCCGGAGAGGACCTGGTGGTGCTTGGGCAGCGAGAGTGATCAGGTAACAGAGTGTGCTTGGCTTGTTAACAGCGAGTTACTAGGGATCAAGTCATCCCAGTTGGAGTGAAGTCCTTCATGACTTGTACTCTGCTTCTGACCACGAAGGACATGGGAGGGGAGGGGAAGGAAGGGGAGAGGAGGCAGCTCCAGCCTGAACAGCCTGTCACTGTAGGAGTGTGAACTCTCTTTCTTTGCTGGTTCATTTCCTAACGTAACAGTTCTCAGACAAGGATGAGTATGTGCTTGCACCTCTCCTTGAGAAGCCCTGTGGACAAGCTAGTTTTACACGCCCCAGGAACGCAACACAAACCCGAGTTCAGTGCGGTCGGTTCAGCTGGTTTCTTTCTCCCTGCAGCAACGCCCGGGAGAGCTGGCAGAGCCGCGTGAGCGGCAGAGGAGCCGAGGACACTCGCGCCGACCAGGAGGCGAATCGCTGGGGCCGCAGAGGCGGCGACCCCAACCGCTACCGCCCCGCGGGACTGCCCAGAAAGTACTAGCGCTGCCCCGCGGGAGGGCACTCCGCCCCTGCCGCACCT